CCTATAAGCCCTGTCATCTCCGAGCCAGGCGTACGATGCAATGTTTGAGGACCAGTCCTCTGACGACGAGGAGCTCATGGCAACTTGGCTCAGCTCAACGCTTTCGGGTTTAGGTGTTCAGGGTTTAGGGTTTGGGGCTTAGGGTTTAGGGTTTCGGGTTTAGGGTTTAGGGTTGTGGGTTTGGGGTTGCGAGTTTAGGGTTTCAGGGCTTAGGGATTAGGGTTTAGGGCTTAGGGTTTCGGGTTTAGGGTTTAGGGTTTAGGGTTTAGGGTTTAGTTCGGGTTTAGAGGGGCTGTTTGGTTCTGTCAGCCTACGCGATGGCAGGACTTGATTGTTAGTCAACCTGCCTTGTTATGCCAAGCAGCCGCTCGAGGACCATGAGACCTATCTGAAGCGTGTCATTACTTCGGTGGGTGAGCATGGCTTGCACTATGATGGCAAACGCCTTGCAATCAGAGTTGATCCGAGAGATCCCCGAAAGGCTCTGGCTTCTCCGAGGAGTGCCGTCCGATTGGCATGTTCAGGAGCTGGAGGAAGTGTTGCTTGACACCGGCTTTAGTGACGCCACCATCCAGGCCAAATACCGGGGTCCCAGCGCCAACAAATGGACCTTCACATCCATCAGGTCCGATATGCCCGAACACGTGCCAATCAGGGTACCTCAAAAGGGTGGTGAGGTCTTGGAGCTTGAGGCGTCCCGACATCGACGCCAGCGCCGTTTGGTGTTTAGGGTTTAGCGTTTCGGGTTTCGGGTTGAGGGTGTCGGCTTAGGGTAAATTTCTGTCTAGTATAGGGTGTTGGGTTGTGAGGATTTCGGGGTTGAGTTAATATAGGTGTTGGGGGTATACTACACGATAAATGCACTGGGAGACCCGAGGGAGTAAGATCATGATTTGTTAATTGCGGCTGGGCGGTTCATATTGTCAGGGAGAAACAAATGTTCGGGTGTTGGGTTCAAGGTTTGGGCTTACAGTCTAGTGCCTTGGGTGTTGAGGTTTTCGAGTTGACAAGTGTTGTTTTGCTTTGCGGTGGCAATCGCAGGTAGGTGCAGCAAGGTGGGTTTTCGGCGCTCTAGGCACCGCATAAAAAAAAAAACTTATGATGTAATCGCCAAGTACCGTTGGCAAGCTCAAAGCACAGCGTCGGACTAGAAGCCCAAGTGCTTGATTTTTCAAATCCCGTTTAGGCAGTTGGTCGTAAACCACAGCCGAAGTTGGCGACGTGCCTCTGTAACCTTTCGTGCTCATTCAACCCCCCGTAGACAGCCCCAAAGTTGCCAAAAGAGCCCTAAACCCTAAACCCCTAAACCCCTAAAGCCCTAAACCCTAAACCCCTAAACCTGTAAACCCTAAACCCTAAGCCCTAAACACCTAAACCCTAAACCCCAAGCCCTAAACCTAAACCCCCAAAAGCCTAAACCCCTAAACCCTAAACCCTATAAACCCTAAGCCCCTAAACCCTAAACCCCCAAAACCCAGACACCGAAAGCCTAAACC